AATTAGGTTAGAATTGAAGAAAAAAATCCCTCAACCCATAAAGCCTGCTGCCCATGGCATGAAAATGAAAAACAACCAATAGCAAAAAACCATCCTTCCTGGATGGAAAGGAAAATACAGCTGTCAAATCCAATTTTTAAAAAAAACTACTCATAAAAGCTTATAGGACAGCCAGCCATTTCTTAGTCCATCTCTGCTGCCACATGTGCTCTGGAACAAGGACTGTACTGCTTGTTCATGGACATGCAGACACAGACCCTTTTGCAGTTTATGACTGTGGGGTCTGGAAAAGCTCAAAAGCAGCTTGACTAAGCTAAAAAAAGCCCATGACACTGCAGAGCTTCAAGCTGCATTGAGTAGAGCCAAATGCAGCTGACTGGGCAGCATCAGTTAGGCAGAACCAAAGCATCCTTCCACACAGCTTCCAGCAGTAGAGTGCTGTGACTTCCCACAGACCCAGTAAAGACCTTTTTCAGCCTCTATAGCACAAAGAAGTCTCAGGTTCTTGCACAGATTCACCTTCTAGAAGAGCAGGTTTGAAGTTGGTCTCCAAGATATCCAGTCTACCATACTTGTGAATCTGGATCAGGGAAAGGAAACAAGGTATTATTAAGTATCTAACCCAAATCCCATCCCTCTGTTCTTACACTCTAAAGAAGTATTTCCACTCTGGTTCTGGTACTCTGAAATGTCTTACCAGTCTTAAAGCCTCTTCCCAGAGAGCCCCTTCTAAGAGCAGAAGAACAGCCTCTTCGTAGCCCTAGAAGGAAGGAGCAACCATGTAGTGCTACTGATGCTAGTAATACATGTTCAGGTAGCATCTATTCAGATGCACATTTCTATGCAGCAGTATCACAGTCAGGACATGAAAAACACTGTGGTGCCGGTACTTTGAAGTGCTGACATATAAAACCCCACAAACTATGTTAACTTTTCCCATGCTGAGGAGAAATCCCTTTTGAACTCTGTCTTACTTACTTCCTTACTACAGCACTCATGCTTCAGCTCTCCGAGACAAAAGCTTTTCACAACAAAGCAGACACAGCTTCATGAATGGAAAAAACTCGGGGACACATTCATGCCCACGCTGCTCACTGCATCACCTGGACCTGCTCTACCTCCCCAACAGAGCCCATGGCACAGACTGTTCTGCTGTCAGCGTGCCTGGCGTCACATGTGGCCCAGGAGAACAGAGAAAAACAGATGGTCTATTTCTCTGACAGAGGATATTACTGGCGGCACAGACAGGAGGGTCATTAGATTACCTGAGTGTACTGCTCCAGGAGTATGGCTGCCTCTGCATGCTTTCTTTGTTCACCTAGTTTTCCTACAAGAAAAGGTGCAGTTCAGCTTTCCAGAAGCAGCTGGATTTTGTGCCACAAAGCTACAAAGTAGAGGAAAATCCCACTCACTGAGGCACCTTCTACCTGCTCACACATTTACTCAAACTTCCCAGTAAAAAGAAGGGCTGCCTGATGCCAATAATTCATTAACTTGCAACATCATCAGCCAGTTGCTTGTGAAATTGCTGGTGCACATCCCTCAAGGCCAGCTGGTGAATATTTTCCCCACAGTCTGAGGCAAAAATAGTGAAGAGTCTCTTAAGTGGAGGGGGCCAGGACACAAAAAAGAAATCTCTTGAAACCTTCAATGTACCACAGCCCTCCTACCTGCAAGGAGCACTTTGCTGTCTGCAGTATGGAGAGAGATCATCAAGCTTGTGGGATTCAAGGCTTCTAGTTCCCTAAAAGTCAGAACCAGCTTTGACTTGTAAGTATGCTATGTAAGAGAGCAAGTGATACACAACACTGGGGGGGTGGGGGGGAGAAAGAAGTTACCCAAGGAAAGCAATCTCATCCAAGATGGTTTGTGTCTGCTCATTTTGCTAAATTACAGTTGTGATTTAAGAGGGGCACCAGAAAAAGTATTAAAGGCAGGACACGAAGGATCCAAATACATGAAGTGACAGGAAAAGAGAATATTGATATCCAGCTCTTGAAGACTACATTCCCAGGAGCCATATTCCCACAGTGTAAGTGGGCCCTTTGTAAACTTTGCCTCTGAGTAAGGCAGAAGTCAGGATGATGCTCCATTTGTCTTGCTGAAATATATGCCAGGTCCACAACACATCTCATGCATGCAGTCTCTTATGTCCTAGTAAGCACAAATTCTGAGACCAGCTACCTTTTTCTCCTGCAGCAGGATGGCACACAGCTTTGCATGTACCAATGGTCCTAGCTGCTAGCAGGCTTTGAAGAGAAAACATGAAGACAAAGCTCTGAATTATCCAATAGCCTTTCAGGTCTGTGACTAGGCACAGTATTTATTTAAATGATGTCTACAGGCCTCAGTCATGTCAGTTACTTCAAAGAATCTCCATTCTCTGAGGTTAACCAAGGAGGCAATATGGAATAGCAGTTCAGCAACTGGTTGCAAGGAAAAAGTGCAAGAAGCAGTCAGCACGGGGCAGCCAAGGCCACAGCTAGCTTGACAACTCCTGGGTGCCTATCAGCTCAGCTCCTATATGTTTTGGTTCCTTTGAGAAACAAAGGTGACCTGCAATCACACATAGCCTTGGGCATCTTTGTGCTCCCTTTAAGAAAAACAATGCTGAAGACAGGTTTTTACTAAATTTTAAGAAAAATCAAAATGAACCAAGTTTTGCTCTTCCATCTCCTCACAGCCTACCTGCCATGCTCCGTGCCAGGCTGGACAGCTGATCCTTTGTGTAACCAAGCCGTGACGCCATGCACAGGGCTTGCTGCCAGCTGCCACTGTTCTGAAAAGCAACAAGTGCTTTTGCAAAGATGCCAGCACGAGCAAATATCAATGCAGCCTGTTCATACAGCTGCTTCTGAATCAAGTACTCCCCATACACATCACTGATATCCTGCAAGAAAGGGATAAAAGAGAAGTAAGAAATCAGCTATAAAATCAGTAGCAGTTGTACATTAATAAAAATTAAGTGCCCATCAACAAAAGCCTATTTCCCTCTCCCGCAAGAAAGCTCCAGGCACAATGTTCCTACCCCATTTTGAACTTTGTATCAAGACAAGGAGACATTTCACATAGCTAAAGCAAGAGACACAGGGAGGTACCTAACCCTCCAAGCTGAAGGCTGGGTAAACTACATACTACAGGAAATCAGCCCCTTCTTCCCTACTCACATAAGCAGCTTTGTTAGAACGTCTCCCTGAACCAACTTACTCCAGGAATCAAACACTGGCATGAAGGAGGATGCAAACCCTGCAACTCTATAGGCAAACGCTGCTGTGACTCAATATCCTGAGCTGCACTATGCTATTCAAAGCTCGCCATCTCCAGCAAGAAGGGGTGGGTGGATTTGTCTGGAAGAATACAGAAGGAATAAAGAAAGACTCCCAATAAACCAGTCAGGAACAGACCTCCCTCATGATAAAAGAATCCTTTCTGCTTTCACTGTGTTGCAGACAGACTGAGTTTCTCTATTTCCTCTCTTAATTCTTCATCTACTTCTTTTACAAAGGCTCATGTGTTGTGTATTTACAATATTACGGTCAACAGTGAAAAATTCAGGTGCTCAAGTTATCCTTTCCTGCATTTTACCAGTTAGGGGAAAAGAGGTAGCCACAAATCAACAGATATTGCATATCACCTCTTGGTTACGTGGCTGGTGCTGTTGTGTGGGTTTTGTTTTTTATGACAATGGGGCATCCTTCCACAGTAACCTATTAGGGAGGGATAGAATTCAGCTGTCTGGCAGAGGCACGGGTATCTTCGGTAAAAGGCTGGCCAACTTGGTAAGGAGGGCTTTAAACAGAATGTGTCCCAGGGTGGGGTCCAGGGTGGCAATACCCATGCCATTGCATTCTACTGGGGAACAGACCAGGCCAATTGGAGCAGCAACAAGTGTCCCTTAGCTGCCTCTCCAGAAGAAAACCAGAAGGCCAACTGCCTCAAGGGCATGTATAGCTATGGTAGATTGTTCTCCATCCCTCCAGGGAAACTTGCGTGCTCAATTACCTCCCTAAAATGCCTGTACACCAATGCACACAGCATGGGGAACAAACAGGAAGAGCTGGAGATCTGTGCACAGCTGCAAGGCTACGATCTCATAGCAATAACGGAGACATGGTGGGATAGCTCACGTAACTGGAATACTGTCATGGATGGCTATGTGCTCTTCAGCAAAGACAGGCCAACCAGGAGAGGTGGGGGAGTTGCCCTCTGTGAAAAAGGATCTGGAATGTATCGAGCTTTGCCTAGGGGAGGAGGAGGAACAAGTCAAGAGCTTATAGGTGAGACTTAAGGGGCTAGTTAATATGGGTGACACTATTGTGGGTGTTTATTACAGGCCACCTGACGAGGAGGAGGAAGTCAATTAGGCCTTCTACGACCAGCTGAAAGTAGCCTCACAGTCACAGGCCCTGGTTCTCATGGAGGACTTCAACTACCCCGATATTTGCTGGAAAAGCAATGCAGCCAAGCACCCACAGTCCAAGAGGTTCCTACAGAGCACTGACAATAACTTTTTGACATAGGTGGTGGCGGAACCAACAAGGAGAGGGGCGCTGCTGGACCTCGTACTGCAAAAGAAACAAAGAAGGACTGGTCAGAGGTGTGAAGGTGGGGGGCACCCTTAGCTGTAGTGACCATAAGATGGTGGAGTTCAGGGTCCTATGTGGAAGAAACAGGGCAATAAGTAGGGCTGCAACTCTGGAGCTAACTTCAGCCTCCTCAAACTTGGAGGAGTCCCATGGGCTAGGGTTCTAGAAGGCAGAAAGGCTGAAGAGAGCTGGTTGCTATTCAATCAGCACTTGCTCAAAACTCAAGATTGGTGCAGTCTTATGAGGAAGAAGTTGAGCAAAAGAGGCTGGAGGCCTGCTTGGATGAGCAAGGAGCTTCTGGAAAAACTCAAAGGGAAGAAAGAAATTTACAACAGGTGGAAAAAGGGGTTAGTCACTTGGGAGGAATATAGAAACACTGTCAGAGAATGCAGGGATGCAATGAGGAAAGCTAAGGCCCACTTGGAATTAAATCTAGCCAAAGATGTCAAAAACAACAAGAAGGGCTTCTTCAAATACATTGGTAGTCAAAGAAAGACCAGGGAAACTGTGGACCCATTGCTGAATGAGGCGGGTACCCTGATGATGGAGGATATGGAGAAGG